TTTTCTCACAACGCGCCCCCCCCCCCCCGCCTTCGAATTTTTTCCATTTGGTCTAATTTGAACTGTTATCTTGAAGAAAAATTTGAATGACTTTATTTGTATCATATTTAATTCTTCCACTTTCAGTGACAGTCAGTAATCAAGACTTTGGGTGCATTCATGCTTCAGGAAAATTGGGCCCATTCACTCACTCATTATACTACTTATGAGCATAGGTTTGAAGATTTCGTCAAATAGCGCTTAATTAAAAAAATTTTCCACTGCTTCCGTAATCTAAATGTTATATGAGTACGTACTATTGAATTCATGGACCTGGAGAGGTGTTATTCTAAGGAAGTTTTCTACCTTATTCGGTAGTTAGAGGGTCGTAAACTTTGTTAACTTTGTTCATGGGAACCCAAGCACATACAGTTGGGGAGTGGACGGCCTCCCTAACTTTGGTATTGCTCTCGTTAACAACCCTTTGATCTTTGGGGGGTGGGGGGGTGGGGTTTATCTCAACCTAGTTCACTTGCTGCTTCCACAAATAAAAATTGCAACAATCTTTAATTGTTTCACCTAGGCTATTAAACGATTTCGTCCCCCCAATCACTGTCAAAATCGAACTTCACACTGATCAAAAATTCCTAAGAAGTGGCAACGTTTTCTTGACTGACGTCTTCACATTTGGATTTGTTCTGTCTTCGTAGATGCTTTATTATTAGTAGGCATATATCCCTTTCTTCATGATATATTTTACTTCGATTATTACCTGATTAAACGTTAATTCCTGGTTTATTAAATTAAATTAACACTTAGGAATTGGCGAATGTGCACAAATGGACCTATTAGAATAGTGTAAATAAGGGTATGTGGATAATTGCCCCGAGCACTAGTGGACCTGCAAAGTCTGGACGTCGTGTTCGTTTTTGGAATAATAATGCGGCCTGTTATATTATGTCGACGGTTTTGAGAACCAGTTCATGAAATATGTTAGTTTTCTATTAAAAATCATAATGTACTTCTAAGCAATAGCCTGCTCAATCCTACATCAAAGGAGGAGATTTGTAGGCCAATATAAGTCGTGATGTGTCTGGTTGTTTTTGATCATTTCTTGGCCATAATATTAGAATTGTCACAATCACATAACTTCTTATTCTGAAGCTCTCTCATGGATTAAAGTTAAATGTTTAAAAAGGCGCACATTTTTTTCTAAGGTACTATTCTCACCTATGACTCTTATTTTAAAATTATTGTTAAATGATTAATGATTAAAGGTGTGATGAAATGTGGAACGCTATTTATTAGTAGTATTTAATTGGCCAACCTGATCAATCTGATCATTTTCCCTCACACACGACTATTCCCATTAAAGGGAAGAACTTATAGTTTCTTCTTAATTTTTTCCCAAAACCTTACCCATTTTGGCACACCAATAGTCAACTTTTTTTACCGAATCTTTTTTTGGAACCGTTGAATTCTGAAAATTTTCAATATACCTATCTTTGCTATACTTGCTTACATTTGGAAATCGATACCTAAATAAGGGGTTGCTCTTCAGTGTGACAATAAAATCGATAAAAATTAACTTCTTTAAATTCCCGTGAGGAATTCGTGCTTGACGAAGCGATCCAGTAAATCGCCTTTTTTCATCGCTTAAAAATTTATTAATTAATTGAGTTAATGGAGGCTTAATTTCTATTGCTTAGCATTATAAGTTTTTTATTAATTGACCTTTCACGTGCCCTGCCTTCTATTTTGCAGGTTAATATGGTTCCTCTTTGCAATATTGGTGCCGATTCATATTTACGCCAACTGGAGAGCAGTGCGATGCTTGAAATTGACTACCCTCAATCGGATACGATTCAACATTCTGGTCCAGGATTGGCTTCGTCGACTCCGTGAAAAGCCGGATCATGTTCCACCTATTCTCTCAGTGCATGAAGTGAATTACCGTGAACCTATCTTCTTGCCCTCTACCCAGAGAAGAACGCTTCGGTTTGGCTGCTCGTTTGACTCTCTGCTTAAAGCAATTAGGTGAGCTCTGGGGGCTACGCTTGTTTGGGGGGAGGGGGGGGGGAAAGGTTCACACACACACACACACACACACACTAAAGAAGTGCATGTCTACTGCCATCTTCAAATAGAAACACAGGTATGTGCACTAAGGTGAACATAGGGGGGGGGGGGGACAAAATCTTGTTCGCTTCTCCTTGATATTGTACAGGCCTATTTGAAATAACGTTTACATTACGTTATGAATGTAATGATCATTTCATTTCCTCCTTGAACTCAACAGAATTCTCTTATATAAAAACACTTATGGCACCTGCTATGAATTGCATGACCATCTACTTTGAAGTTGTCTTATGGAAGAAAGAATTATTATTATACAGCAATAACCATGATCTCTTTTTGTTTAGACACAGTCAAAATTGTATTTATTTCACATTTGTCTTTAGGTGGTGCAAGCCCCTGCCGTTAATGGGTGTGTTCTCAGAGGAACGGTATATCCTCTATTGCCCTGATTGGAAAAATTCAGGTGGTTTTTTCTTTATATTTGCTTTGTTTTTGCATGCATTCTCTTTCATGATCGTCAAAGCTATTTGTTCTCCACTACAGGCTTCCCTCATTTCATTGAGACAAATTTCTTGAAATTATGTTTGATCTGCTTGACGTAGAATTATTTCCACAACTTTATTCGTCATTCGGTAGGGGATAAAACTCCCGGCAATGCAGTGTCGAGTGCAGGTTTCTAATACTTCCTGTGGGGTTATAATTAAATAAGGTATAATTGATATAGATTTTTGATTACACATAATTAAACCCGTTATTCTAACTAAGCCAGATCTGTTCAGATCTGTAATGTCTCATTTGACAAGTGATTATGTCTACTTATTCCGTCCTGTTTGTTTTCTCTTTGTTCATGACATTTTTCCTCCTCTCCCGGTAAGTAATATGCGTACTTTTAGTTTAACTTGAGGGAACTCGGGAGAAAATCGTCCACTTCACAATCCATCCGCTCTTTAAATTTTATCGCTTCCCTCAATGCTTATTTCTTCAACCATTAGTCGGCCATTAATTCCACTTTAATTGTCTCGAATTGTGAAGGATGGAATTTGAATGGGAACGAATGTGGTGGGGGTGGGGGTGGGGGAGGAGGTTCTGTCTCACCGCTTTCTGAGCTCAAGCACGCAAGTACCAAGTTTGCGGAGTGTGTGGATTTGCTGAATGTTAGTAGGAGAAGAAAAGTTTTCTGTAGTATCGGGAAAGCCATCAAAAGGTCTTTTTTCGAATTCAATCACACGCAACCTTGTGTGATCGTGGTTTTGAGCGAAAATGGCTGCATTAACTCAACTGAATTCTTGTGTGCTTAGGATATAAGCGCCAACATTTGACGATATACGTCTGTATCCACAGTGATGCTACTACGGGGGATATCTTCAAGGCAATGTTCCATGTGGAAATCATCTGCTCCCTTTCCAGCGTAAGATTTATTATTATTATTGCGTTGATGTAAATTAACTCAGTCATTCATTTCTTAACGCGGTAGAAATGGGATACGATAACTTTAAAAATACATCTTTTAACTGTATAAATCGAATATTCTAAGAATGTGATTCCTCTCCATCTTCTTTTGCTTATCGCACTAGTATCTATTTTATCCACTTTAAATTTCCTTATTATTGATAATTCCGGGTGCTATTTTCCTACGCCCTAAAGTCTTTGATGAAAATCTCAATAAAATGTCTCAAATAAGTGACCTGATTTTGTTTTTCTTTATTGCCGGCGAATTCTTGTTTGAACAGTCTCGATGATAAAGCTAATTTACGATTGCATGTGTGGTTCAATTACACGCTGGTTTTGCAACCCTAGTGCCCCTGACGTCTTTTCTCAGTCGCTCTGATGTGTATTTATAACAACATAAAGAGAATTTAACAATTTTTCTCTATTTAAAAAATTACAAGTCTCCTTCTTTTATGGGTACCATTTTGGCCATAATTCAACATTTTAAAACCGATCTTTGACTACGTGGGTGTAGAAGAAAATAAGAAAGCTAGTAGTAAGCTTAGATTAAACTGGAACTGGGTGAGATGTTGAGTAAATTTTTAATAAGTTGATTGAAGTATTCACTTAACCATGATACTTTGTGATAGCACAGAAAAGTGGCAAAATTCCAGATATATAGATGGGACGATTATTATTATTATTATCAAACTCCCTGTATTCTTTATTAATATTACACGTCGACTTAATAACGGAGAACATGCAAGGCGAAATTCCGGACATATGCATAATTTTTTTCATTCCAATTCGAGATAATTGGCTGAAGAATGTCTTATTAGCTGCGTTGTTCATTAGTACTGTTAATTTGTAAGACTGTTAAAATAACTTCATGATCATTTCTAGGCATCACTGAATCTCTTTGTAATTTGCGAGTTGAGCATCGGCTTTCTGTGGACAAAATGATCTGATTAATGAAATACTTGCTCAAACATTGTCCGCATACTGTTGGCATCATCTTATATTATTCTTGTTTGAATTTCAGTTAAGTAAGGAGATCGGTGACTTCAGGGCCTTCTGGGAAGGAGATGACGGTAAATTTTTATCTCTTGATTTATACTTCTTTTCTAAAAATATGTCCTCGAAATAACGCACCTCTAATCGGGGCGTCAATAATATATAGCTAGTTAACGTTTGGTGTTTAGTAATTAAGACCTTATAAGAATTCTCATCACTAAAATTCGATTTCTTTAGCTTTGGCATTATACTATTTGAAGATTGTCAGTCTGCTCAAAATGTTTCTCCCTATTTGTGCTTCTTCAGTTATCTATCAAATCCCATATCGGGGAAGATGATATAGTTTATTTATTTGTTGTTTGGAAGGCCTTTTTCTGTATTCCTTTTTTTCTCAACCCCCCACCACCACCACCACCAATCTTCGTGTTTTGATACGGAATTGCCGACTGCCGGTGACTTCTGACGGGAAATAAATATTAATTAACTTATTGTTTGTTTATTGCAAAATTGTTTAATGTGTGTCTGCTTTAAGTTAAACTTTAAACGAAGATTTTGTGGAAAATTATTTTCCTCTTTTAGGCATTGCCTTCCATGCTTGGACACTTGGTCGCACGAATCTCTGGTTGGCGAAAATAATGCAGGCTTTTGAGATGAGTGCTTCGGGAGGAAATGGCGCCAAGTGGGATCTCTCTGTCCTCCAATTTGACCCTGGTCCCTGGCGCATTTATCGAAATGTCTACTATAATTGAAGTCTTTCCTTTTTGGCCGATTTATAAGCCACTTCTTTAACTCTTCTAATTGTTTTCTGATAATATGTTTACTCCAGTCTGTTGGCTATTTGCTAAGTAAACGAATTATGTTTCTTTTTCCTATCCACATCGAATAAAATACCTTTATATTATGAATGCTATTGTCAGAAGTAAGAACCATGAACTTTCTACCGGCACCCACGTTTGTGTATAATTTTGATGCTTAATTTTCTTTCATTGAGTACTTTTCTGCGACTTTGTTAAACCAGCTTATATAAGATGCTTACTAATTCTGACCTAGCCTTACCAGCTTGAAGGTCAACAGATTGTCAAGACTGATAGGTATGCATCTTATCTGGTCTTACGAACGGATCCAGAAGTTGATGTTGCATTGAGCTCTTCGTAATTATCTTCTCGGTTCTAGCTGCATACAGTCGTATGTGATAGCTTTTCATTTGCTCTCTTAAAATTGGGGGGGGGGGGGGGGGTTAATTCACATGTAAAGAATGTGAGCAACGTCAATTGTATTACGGAGCACAATTTATAATTATCTACTTCTGGCTATAGTCATTTCTTCCTACCAAATTTTACCTGAACTTCTCTTATTTCTTGGTAATTAATCACAATGCAACCTCTCCGTTTCTTTTAACATTTAAGTTGTTTGAGGAATCGAGTAAGTTGGATATCCCAAGTGCTTATCTAAAGTTTGTTTAATGGCTATTACCTATTTTGGGCATTTAGAAGAGGTAAATGCCAGTGACAATAAGCAGATACTTCCAATTCATAAGTATTATTTATTTATTTCAAATGGCAGGCGTTTTGATAGATATCATTAGCCATTTAGCTGACTTTGGGCTTCACAGAGGGAAGGTTCATCAAAGTAGCAGAAAGTCGAGGGGCGGGGAACAGAAGAGCGATTCACAGATGTAAAAGAGGCAGACAGACACAAAGGTCGAAAAAAGGTGAGGTGAGTACTGTGGAAGGGGTCGAATATGACAACCAGGAGGGTCGTGGTAGTTTGAAGTCAGAAGTCAAATGCCGGTTAATAGACTTTTACTAGTAAATGTAATTTATATCCTTTAAAATAGCCCAGAAACTAATACACTGTATTATTTTAAGAGCAATAGACGTAATGGCTTTGGTAACTGGAGTATTAAATAATAAGTTATATTTTATGCATACGATTTAATAATTTTGAAGTTCATCTTGAGTGAATAGTGGCATCATGTAAATCTCAAGCAAAATGTACATATATTGAAATTTAAAGAAGGATTCAGTACTTCATGGATCATGCATATTGAGTAGTCTCTGACAGGCCGATGTGAACACTGTTCCGTCAAGCTACACCTTTTCCCAGACCACCAATGGTAATGTGGGACACGTGATCGCATGTGCGCACAACCGATGGCCAATCAGAAGCCTTCGTTTGTTTAAGTGGATCCGCCATTTTGATTATGACTAACTCTACGGTGTGTACACTTATACCGCGTGTTCCGTCTGTTTTCTCTATAGCTGGGCTGTAGCTTAGCTAGTTCTGGGAGTCTAGATAGACATTGGAGAATCAGCCACAGATTTCTGAGTCAGTCAGTAAAATGGTCGTTACCTAGATCCTTAAAGAGCCAAATGTCTAGTTCGAAACTAATCAGCTGCCAGTTCCGATATGAACAAAGATATTTTTAACAGTCGATTTTTTCCATTCGATGCAAAAAGTGATGAATTTGAATAAATCAGTCTACTACAATGTCCACCTATAGTTCATTAAGACTCTCATACCAGATATTCAATGAGTCCGTTATATAGGACAGAATTCAAAGATTGGACATTAAAGATCAGCTGGTAAAGATGAATTACGATTTCGAATCATCGTGCCACAAATGGAACCTCTAAATCACACATCATTTAAGCAGAAATTATTTAGACTTGACTTAAAGTAGCTTCTCTACTAATCGAATCAAGAAAAATTTTTATCTAGATTGGCGAATAGTTGTGTCATTTATCTATTTCTAGTGTGTCTCAAATGCCGATTGACTATCCAAAGGTGTTGAAAGTATAGGTTTTCTATTTTAGGTGAATATGTTCTAACTTGCCTACTTCCAGCTTCAGTAAAAATTTGGCTATAACCAAGCGGAACCTATGGCCAACTATCTCTGACAAATTTTTAATCAATGCTCTCTATCTTAATTTCCTCATTCATTATATAACGGGAGCTATTGATTACACAGAGAAAGTATGTATTGATTCCATGTGCCTACCGATCCACATTCACCTTTACAAAGCGCTTGGCTAGTAAGGCCCAGGTTTAACCTTCCTTCGACTTAAAGGCATTTGTAGCAACATTTCTAGCTAAATCATCACACAGACACACCAATTACTTTTATTCCAAGCCACCCTTTTCACACGGAGTGTTTTGCAGAAAAGCAAAGTTGGCGAAGCTCAACCAACGCACAGCACCTCTTCCTTGTTCCACCGATCGTCTTTGTGCACGAATAGCATTTTTATACGGGCACCAAATCCGATAAACGATTTCATTCTTCACACTTGCACACTCTTTCACGCCCTAGTTTCTGTTCTTCTGAGGGAAAAATAGATACCCTACCTATTATTACCCACCTTCGAAATGTGCAATCAATAGGATGATAACAGCTTGAATGTAATGAATATTAAATGAAAGTCGTTTTCAGATAACATACAGTATAGAAAAAGCTTCAATCGGCATCTGGTTTATGCACCGTAGATTATCTTCAATCCAATTCTCTACTAACCTCAACTAGAACTCGCCAAAACGGGATATGGAGAGAATGGTTTTGTTAAACAGGCTCATATATATATATTTATTTATTTCAAATGGCAGACGTTTTGATAGTTATCATTAGCCCTTTAGCTGACTTCGGGCTTCACAGAGAAGAGGAGGAACATCAAAGTGACAAAAAGACGAGAGGGGGACAGAATAATTATTCACAAATTTAAAGGAGACAGACAAATACAAAGTCAGAGAATAGGTAAGATAAGTACTGTGGAAGGGGTCGAATATGATATGCAGTCAGGCCATGGTAGTTTGAAGTGAGAAGTCAACTGCCCGTTAATAGACTTTTTTGCCGTATGAGAATGTAGGACATATAGGGGGGTCATGGTAGTTTGAAGTGAGAAGAAAACTGCCGGTTAATAGACTTTTTTGCCGTATGCGGAGAAGTCAACTACCAGTTAATAGACTTTGCCGTTGAAGTCAGAAGTCAACTGCCGGTTAATAGAATTTTTTTGCCGATAGTTTGAAGTCAACTGCCGGTTTATAGACTTCGAATATGACATAGAGAAGTCAACTGCCAGTTAATAGATCATGGTAATTGAAGTCAGAAGTCAACTGCCGATTAATAGACTTGGGGTCATGATAGTTTGAACTCAGAAGTCAACTGCCAGTTAATAGACTTACTCATGGTAGTTTGAAGTCAACTGCCAGGTAATAGACTTTAGTTTGAAGTGAGAAGTCAACTGCCGATTGATAGACTTTTATTTGAAGTCAGAAGTCAACTGCCAGTTAATAGACCTTTTCAGTCAGAAGTCAACTGCCGGTTTATAGACTTTTTTGCCGTTTGAGTAGTCAGAAGTCAACTGCCGGTTAATAGACTTTTTTGTGAAGTGAGAAGTCAACTGCCAGTTAATAGACCTTTTTGCGTTGAAGTCAGAAGTCAACTGCCGGTTAATAGAATTTTTTTGCCGATAGTTTGAAGTCAACTGCCGGTTTATAGACTTCGAATATGACATAGAGAAGTCAACTGCCAGTTAATAGACTCATGAGTATACGTTGCCCAGGGTGCACCATGTAGAGGTAAGCCTATCGCACACCCCGGTTCATACATATTAGTCATTGGAAAATGGGACATTGACCGCGTAAAATGTTGCGATCGGGTAAACATTTTTATACTCTCAATATATGCGCTGTACGTACCTTAGTAAACAATTGAGGACGTTATAGGACATTGCACTACTGCAGAGAATTAGCCGAAATGCTTTTTTTGTTTCCATTACAAATACTTAAAAAAATCCTTGAGAGACTAGAAATCGAATCCAAGGCATAAAAAATTCAAAATACTGCAAGTTGTTAACCCTTCTTCAGAATTAATTAACTAATGCACAATTAACAAATGGGATATTAGGGAGATGATTTCATGTTCTGTCATTATATTCAAATAATAATCCAGACTAAATATAGTAAGTAAATGGATATTTAACTTTTTAAGGAACTGCAATTTTGAGTGTCCAAAATGGTAGCAGTTACGATTGAAGACTTTGAGTGATAGAAAAATGAGGAGAAATGCCCTCATCGGAAACGCCCGAAAAACGTCAGGCTTTGTCATCAGTCATGTAGACATGGTCCTGTCATGACTTTGTTTAGCGCTTTGGGCCTTTAGTCTCCTAGTTTTCGCGACCATATATATATATATATATATATATATATATATTTAACTGGCTCTTACATGTCAATGTTATTGTAAAATTTATTTTTACTTTTCTTGCCTAATCTTTGGGGTGTTGGAGGTAAAATAGACATTTACCAAATAAATTATTCACTCAACTGCAGAAAATTCTAAAGAGCAAGCTTATTTCTTAATATTTATTAATTTCTTCATGCCTTTTTTGGATAGAATTCTAGCAATTATTTTTTTAACATTACTTTTACTCTAATTAGTTAACATTTTGTTGTATTTTGCTGTTATTTGTTATTTATCATAGTATCGATTGTAATTCAAAATTAGAAATTTATATTTCGTAGTAAGTTATTTAATCTTTATGCCAGACTATTTGCGTAATTGAAAGTGGAATATCAAACGTTTATAAAAAAGGTAAAGATTTGTGGGATCCAACATCTTCTGTTTGCCGATTACAGAGAAACCAGGATACTTGAGTTCGGAATTGATTTCACAGTTCCACTGGTGAACGTATACAGTTTAAAAAGAAATTAATTGGGAGCCTAGTGAAATACCATTGACGGAGTTCTTCACTTT